TGCCAATACAAGCACACATCCAGATATCGTTTTGACGAGAATATATGTTTGATCACCAGACAGAACATACTTGCACTCAGAGAACTCACCTGTAATAACCCGTTGTGTCCAGAGTTTGTTACCTGTCCGGGGAATTAATCAACATTTTACAGTGCTAAACTCTATATTAGGAGCACACGTGGATTATTGAATTCCTAACACTGCCCTAATGGTCTGGGCCGGGGTAAAGGTTATAAGGACGACTATTTTTTATGGGATAATAAAACAGGTAGGTTATTTCCCATGGATGTATTAGTACATATGTTATGTATATTATCATATCACACAATGGCACGGCATGGGATGGTAAGTGTAATTTGATCCTGTCTTGTAATGGTATATATATGTGTTGAAATTTATATTTTGTAATGTACTGCCCTCATTCATGATCATTTTGTCATGTCATATGCTACTGTTTTTAGCGTTTTGTTCAACATTTTTCGTTTAAGCCACATGATATGTAACCTGTTATATTTTATTCCACCTTGTTCGTTTTTTTATTATATCCTCTCTGTCATGCTTATTCAATCTTGTGTATATGATATGTTACCTGGTATATTTTTCATTCCTGCTTATATTCACAGAGTTTTATTCAATCTTGTTGGGTTTTTAATCATATGCTACGTTTCATATTTTTATTCCATCTTGATCAATTTTGTCTTATTCTACCTGTAAAGGTTTCAGCCTTGTTCGTATATATCATATCGTTTGCTACCTGTTCTATTTTTATTCAAACTGTATTTCCTCATATGACAACTCTTCCACTTTTATTCAACTTTGATCGTTTTTCAAATGCTACCTGTCTTTATCTAACACTGTTGGTGAATAGTCATATGATACTTGTTCCATCTATAATCAACTTTATCTGTTACCTGTCATATTTGTTTTCATCATATCATATCATTTGCTACCACTTATATTTGTATTCAACCTGGTTTGTTTTTGTCATATGCCGACTGTCAGATTTTCGTTCATTTTACTTAAACTTCAACAGTTCGCTTTTGTCATGTAATATGCTATATGTCATGTTCATAATCCGCTTGAGATATACATGGCATATAACATGCCACTCCATCTTATTTTATTTGTTTTGAATTTCACACATTGTGATGCTCATTTAAGATCTTGTTTAACACTATGTGTCTCCTAAGGCCGTTTTTAAATAAGAACACTTGTATTTTTCAACTCTGTATATCACTATACCCCTTTCTAAATTGAAATAATGCATTTATTATGACAGCTTCTTTTCCAAAATGACTAATGCATAAAAATGATCGAGTGTTTGGTTTAAAGCATCTTCGTCGAGTTTAGTGGTAAGTTTTACTACAGACTATTGGCATACCTATGGGAACTTAGTGTGCCCCTCTGTTCGCTGACTTGTTTTTTGTTTTCATACCAGGCTGAATTTATCACTTATCAAGGTTACAAAGACCTAGATAAGTTCAATTTCACTTTCAGATATGTAGTTGATGACGTCTCGTCTTTAACCAACAAGATATTCCTTAATCACGCCCATCGTATATACCCACCAGAATTGGAAATCAATGACACCACATACTCTACAACATCAGCCGCCTAACTTAATATTTTGCTATAATGAAACCAATAGTGACAACTTTTCATAAAGCTGTATAAGCGTGATGATTTCAATTTCCCTATTGTGAATTTTCCATTTATGGATGGTAACATTCCTGCATTCTCAGTGGTGTTTACATGTCGCAGTTGATTCGATTTTCAAGAGTCTGTTCTCAGTATTGCGATTTTCGTGCAAGATATCGACGACGAACAGACAAACTCACAACACAGCGTTTCTAAAGATTGACAAGGATAATTTTTTTTTTTATATATATTTATTTTATTTTTGCATTTTTTCACAAGGATAAAAATTATAGGAAGGTGATATCAATAAATATTTCTTTGTGCGATATGAAGCTGGATGTGTCTGACGCTCGTTAGTTTTCCCGTTGGTTCCGTCTTTGTACTTTGTTCTCATTTGTGAACGTGGCATTACTTACTTGAACTGATCAGGATTTCCCGAGCAGTTGTCGTCTATGAAGAAGAATTTTTTTCAATGTTCCAAGTATGAAATGTCACGTTCCCAAATGGAGAAATCCGGCACACTAACGAATATCAATCACGTCATGTCCAAATTGACAACTAAAAGATATAACATTTCCCGATAACATGATTATGATGACATTGAAACTTCTTCATAAACTTCATCAACCCGCATCTCTCGAAACTCTCGTCGATATCGTGCTAACAAGATTCGGGATATCGGGAACAAACCATCGAAGCAATTGCAAGCTGTTGATATCACGGGTTGGGAAAACAGTATTGCTGCTATTTCTTTCAGGATTAGTGCACCGAAAGGGACAGAGGTTAAAATCTATCTGAAAGCAAATTGAACACGCCTTTTTGTCATCCTTCTTCGGCATAGTATTCAACTGAAGCCATAATTATCTTGAAATTCCAGCAAACAGAAAGGGGTTGTAAGATACTTTCATTATTTCTGTAATCTCTATAAAATATTTAAGATTATTTTTTTTAGAGATTGGATTTAGAATAAGCAGTTAATCGATAGAGTGAAATGCTCTGTCACACATTGATTATTCTGACCTATACATGGAGATAGTAATTCTATCAAATCAATCATTATATGATCAATTTGTTTTCAACGTGTTAATTTCGGGTTATTATAATTTTATTATAATATTATTGTTGCAATGTTTTACTACTCGTTAATCTAGCAGTCTCAAGCATATATTATCCATATACTTGACACATTACAAAGCTAACAATACTTTATAAAAATGCGTGCAACAAACATTTGTCTAAGCCAGGAAAATCATTCTTGTGAAGGTTAATGTCATCTGAAAGTAAATTTAATCGGAATGTTCATAGCAAATTAAAAAAACATTACAATCTATCACGTATTTAGTTTTATTGTTCCAAAATATATATATATATAAAAAGAAACAGACCAACCTGTCTTGAATAAATATAACAACCAATCAAAGCTAGCAAAATAACGTGTGTTTTTATATCTCGTTTTCGTTTATCAGTATATTTCTCCTATTTGGAATTGAGATCTTTTTATTGAATGTTAGCTAAGTTTCTTAATAAAGGGTTAGGAATTCGATCTGAAGTTAAGCGTCGTCTCCTTTGGATAAATAAAGAAAATTGAAAAATACGCGCGTCTTCTATGAAGCTCCCTACATGATTCAGAGGGGGTCTATACTAGGCAATTTCGTTGACTGTTATAACTGTTTGTTTGTCGAGACTTGTATCGCTTGTATCACGCTGGGTGATTGACAGTTGTTTGAAGAAAATTAGGGCCAAAAGCGTCAAATATATACACACGACAATACAGGTGTCATATGTTCACACTATGATGATCGATATATGGCCTTATTCTCAAGAATTAAACATCATTGTGATGTATGATCATTTTTCATTTCACTGACTAGACGGCTCCGTTATAGATTCTTACTTATGTGAAGGTTGAGGTATTCCTTTTTTGCCGTTTTGAAGTTTTTAATAAGAGCTATCCTAGCATCTTGAAGCAACACTTATCATTACAGGGAAAGTGTCTATAGAGATTGTGTATCCATGCCTATATTGATTATTGTAAAAGTTGCTTTTTTCCGATGATTCAATTTTAAGCAGTTTAACGAAAATTAACGAGACAAAAGGGATGTGTATTAACCGGACTATAAATTCTTACATTAGTTTAATATTCGTTAATAATATTCATTTTGTGCAATTTTATTAAAAATTATCTCAGGGTAAAAACTTCAAATTCGTTTATGAATCCCCATGAACTCGCCCCAACCGGGACAACTTCGATGTGTAAGACCTGCAAAATTACACAACTACACAAAGCATTCAAACCACTTTAAATAATGAATGCTATAAAAGGACCACGAAAGTCTCGAGATTAATAATTATTTATAGAATATCTTTATATATATTATAAAATATTCAGAGATGCAGTGGTCACATAAAACATATGTTCGGAAGTCTGGTTTCTTTTTTTTTTTTTTGTTTGTGTGTGTGTATTTTTTTTTTTTTTTTTGACGAAATGTATACTGTTATCAAAAACACTGTGATACATTAATGATTAATTCATGGCCGGTATAATATCAAAATAGTTTCCCTTAATGGAAAAAGATTAAAATGTTATACTGTTCAATTTTGCATTCAGAGTTTTTTTTATAGGAGTGATTTACATTTTGTTCTGTAGTCTTCATGATATCCTGATTTCCTGATTTCAATAAATAGTATTTGTCAATGATTTAAGGCATGTTTAAGGTATAGTGGATCATTGATTACAGAAGTCCTTTCCATAGTTTCAGACTTGTCGTTTCGTGACATTAACCGTGTAACTTAAAATACATGTTTAAAATTTTATAGAGCTTTCAATTTGTAGCATTATTTAAAACTGATAACAGCATATCGAACCAATCAAATCGCTTTAAATGTCTTAGAAAAAAATTGTTCTAAATCTAAAATAATACAGAGTAGCTGATACATCATTCAGAAAGGAATATATATCACATTCAGCCATAATTATTCATTATGCAAGGTTTCTACGGAATTTTGCACGATCTGTTTTTATTGTTATTGCCATTGCCATATGCTTATTAAAAAAAATGTTACCTTGGATACTGTGTCATATGTATCCATCATTCCTGCTGATGTCTTGATACGACATATAAATAAGCATGAAGCTCAATTTGATTCATGTTTTCCACTTCTATTGACTGCAAAATTTAGTCCTCCGATTGAAGTAGTACATAGACAATCAATACGATCGATACATTTATTCAGTTTATTAGTTAAAAGAGCCTTTTTTTTGTTCTTTCAGATTTCCTCAAATGGATGGCTAAATTACGCGGTTGTGATATCCCTAATCAGTAATATGTAAATGGTGCAGCAACGGTATTAAACCACAGAAAATGGCGACAGTGAATGGACCGCTTTTACCAAAAATAGACAAGGCCTTCAATGTAGGAAGTGTCGGACACCTGGATAATTCCAAGAAACATATTGGTAAGCTGAGGAGGTATATCATCGATAACCCACGGGATGAGGGTCTTAAAAGGCGTGAGACCCTCTGGGACTTTCAGCATAAAAACCGTGGTGCTTTGGTGCGAGTCAAAGGTGAAACGAGTGGTAAGGAATTCGTAAAGGATCAAGACGGCAGGAAATCTCCTAACGGTGCTGAAAATGATCAAGAAATAGACAAAATTGGTGAAACTGACAAGTGTAGGAATATAAAAGCGTTACAGTTTAAGAAACTGAAGAAGAAACAGCGTTTAGAATCACGCGTTTTATTGGGTTCAAATGAGCTAACTGATGTACGCGGGAAAGATCCTAGTGTAACGTATTCAACTGCTCTGAGGATAGGCAGTAACATATTCAACCAGATGAAGGGCACTGAACAATCAACATCTTCTTCACATAGTACAATTTATAGTGAAGACGTGAAAAAGGCTATTGTAAGATCTATAGACAAACTGCCTGATCTGAGTGCATCTTTGTCAAAGCTTGGTTATCTCAAAATGACCAAAAATGTGGTACATTACGGCGGGGGTTTCTTCGGCCGTCATTCCGAACGGCCATATGCCAAACTGAAGCGATCATGGTCGACGTTATCACCACCGGAAGTGCGTGAACGGATTCATGGACGAATCGTTGCACCGACAACAGCGCCACCGCCACAGGATAAAACTGAAAAAGCGACAAAATTGATCAAAAAGAGACTGGAATATCTAGACACACTTTCTATACAACAGAGCTCATCGCATAAAACATCGATGTCATCTAGAGATGACGAGAATGGTTCAGTTTCCACAGGAGACAACTCCTCAAAGAGAACCTTCAAGACCTTGGTGAGTCAGAATAGTCAGCAAACCATATCGAACGACAAAAGGTCTTTACCTATTCTGGACCACGCTCGAAAAAGGGAAAAGAGATTACGAAAACTCAGGGACCAGCAGGTTGCACGTGTGTTCACTCCAATGATCACAAAACAGAATCTGGAGGAGAAAAGGGAGAAAACGGAGCGAAAAATATTTATGGAAGCGAATGATTCCAGGCAACGTAAACTTTCAGTTATTCGGCGTGATCATTCAAAAGCTAAATCTGATTTAGATCATAATTTTAAGCGAGTTGTTTCAGAACCTGGTTTAGATCTGCCAAAGGACAAATATGGACCTACCACCCACTCCAGGGAAAACAAGAGACCATCCATGTATGGTAGTAACCCGTATCGCTGGACAAGCAAGACCAGTTTGTCACTGGACGATCGGACTTGGGTCAAGCGAACCATGCAACAAGCAGATGTTGTAGATCACTCTGCTTATGAATCGTTCGCAAGAATCAAGCCCTCTGGATTACAGAAAGGAGGGACAGAATTGTCTCTCGATAGACAGAAACGATAGACTGATCTTAGCCCGGTTACGATGACTGAAAATGTGATTCTTTAAAAAAAATTACTTTAAGTGATGTTTAGTTCTGTACAAAACACACATTGGAAACTAAGTGTTTCCTTAATCTAAAATCTATATATGTCAGAAACTATTATTAGATAGGCAAAGCGTTAAGAGCTACTGCAAAGGGATTTAAAAAAAAACAATAATAAACCCTGAATGTTCACGGAGCGAATAAAACACACAAAAAGGTATTTGATAGTAAATAATGATAAACAGCTTACGCCACAATATGTTTTCGTACTAGTATGTCTTAGGTTTACTGGGTTTGACAAATTAAAACGGCTTTCTGTTTACGATATTTTTGTATTCGACAATGAACAAGTTATACTACATATAATTGTCAGTTAAGTAGCTTGATAAAGAACTGCTCGACGTGAGCAGAAATTTAACATCAATATGATTCTACTATTGTAGGATAATTACGATTAATAACAAAACCATTCTTAATTTATTAGACTTTACATTTGTTTGATCCTTATAAGGAACTACATAACCAATGATAATGTACTAAACGTAGATAAATCAAAGGGAGATAACCCGTTGAAATAATTGTATTCGTAGCACGAATATTACCTTGGACTTGATTATGTTGTTTTCAATTCAGCACGTATATAATCATTTAGGTTATAATAACTAATAAAATATTCGCTAAGGCCAAATGCATACACACAAAACCTTTTTGTTAATATTTTGATTTATTAAATAACTAGCTGATAAATGTTCACGTCCAATTCTATGTCTGCCATCGAAAGAGCTTATATATTAAAACAATAAACAATAAGTGTTGTGTGTATTTCACAGACTTTTCCTTATTGTACCGTCAAAAAATATAAATGTTGAAACAGGTTTTTTTATCTAAAGTTCATTACAATCTTATTGCAACAAAGATTTTGCTCCATTATGAAAAAAGAAGTGAATTATTCAAATAAATTTGAATAATCAATATTTCATATATTCGGAATAATATTCATGAATTAAAACGAAAGTTTGTTTCTACACAATGAATAACAATTACTAGCCACAAAGGTTACTTAGATTACCATCTAGCTGAAACCAAAAACCTCCATGATACGTGAAAAGTTTTATCAGATTTAATCAAATAACTGTTGTTATCAGTGTCATGATATACATATACAATTATACTTTGCATTATAAACACACGTTATACAACTAAAAGAAGATTAAATTTTGCTGCTCCAGTGGTGACGTCACATCTAGGTCAATTTAATGATTCAATCTACGTTTCCATGGTGTTGTCATCAGTGCAAACCTTTTGGGTAGAGAATATTTCGACATTACCTTAATTTTACAAAAACTTTCAACCCGTCTTTAATGAGAACAAAATTCTTGTATTTTTTCTTTATCATATTAGGTTTAGACACTGTTTTAAGAAAGAAAAAAAATAAAACCGCAAGCTTTTCAGATACCGTTAATAGTCTTCTATCTAAAATTTCTCCTTGATAAATCATAACGATAAGAAAAGTACTCAAACGTTCACATTTCTCTTTTCTTAACCTTTTTCATCGTCGAGATGCTTTTTGCAGGACTCATTTGATTAATTCAATTTGAGATGTAGAATCGATTAAAACTACTTGAAGAATTAACACTTCGTGTGTGAAAACTGATTATACTTTAAACAATTATACTTTCATATGTATACCCAATGACTAGTCCGTGAGATAAATATTAATAAATACTTGATATGATACGATGCATTTTGTGATATTTTGTTATTTGTGGTCCTGCTTTAGACGTGAGTTCGAGGTTGCATTATTTAATATAGTCTATGCAGAAAACAGACAAATTATGTATCAAAGAGGAACCTGTCACTGTTATACCAACTACCATCACTTACGAGTACTAGAATGATGAAACAGCTGTATCCTGTAATCTAATTCATTTTTGGCTCTGCTGTATCTAATCCTTAATTTTTCTTTAACAATGCTATTCCTTTGAAATTTTCTACAATCCTTATCATTATTTATTTTTTCTACTCCAACTATTATTGTTATATACATTGAGGAATCATAAAACACACTTAGACGTTGATTCTTAACTCTCATTAATGAGCCCATATCAATATTTTAACTTGTGAACTGAGGAAGCTATTAAATACCCGCCAATCACACAAGAGGTTTGAACACCAAGATTAAATTCAGGGACCTGGTATTTCAGACTGTGATTAACACGGAAATTAACATTTGATCGATGGAAACACTCACACCTTCTTGTGATAATGACCAAAGGACACCATTCTTTTAAATGAATTCTTTTGTAAAATGTTCATCGCGCATCAATCAAAAATCTTGTCTGACAGCTGGTAACAACCACAAACATTACATAATGAGGCTTTCAAAATACTGAAAGTGATTCATGAAAGTGTTTTTTAACTAAACTCACATTCCACAGTTAACCTAAGATGGTTAACACTGTTATCCTTGTCTTAGAAGGGCGAAGCAGCTGTGTGATGCAGTTTACTTCATTTCGTGTCTTATATTAAATGGTGCTATTAATAAGTGTGTTTTCAGTGTTTGTTCCATCTTTAAATATAATTGCAAAGATCATCAGATGATCTAAAACCAAGTTTGATGGGATGATATTACATGTATACAAAGACAAAACAATGTTTTTAAATCAAGCAATGTTAACGTTAAAATTGTTTTCCATGAACAGAGATAGTTAATGTTGAATTAAATGAATCTTTATCGAGTCAACTCTTATTTTGTAAGTAAGTTTCGGCAATGACAATTTTGGTAGATAAAATTATGGATATTAACATAGATTGATGATAATTGATTTGATGGAATACGTACGATCTGTAATAAAAAAAAAACTTGTATTACTAAAATACAAAATATATACATCTTATAGGCCATATTTTATAAATCAAAACGTAAGTCATTTCATTCTTGATGGTGATAAGATTATGGCGTTTCTGAATGTTTTATTATGATTGTATGATGTCAGTTAATACACAACTTTTGATGTTTATATATAGCTAAGATTACTATTAATGACTTTGGAAAATTCTGATAACAAAAACAGCATAAGAAAAACACCTGGGGCAATAAAAGTCTTTTTCTTCACAATACAAATGTCAATTATACTCATGTTCGAAACCTCAATTTTCTAGTGAGTACTGTTTGGAGAAGTGAATGCAATGAGTGTTTATTGATCGATATCCCAAATAGCATCTTACCTTAGTAAGGTGTTACACACATAACATCTGTTCTTTAGTAAATAAATGGTTTAAAGAAAATTATTTGTTGTAATGTAAACGTTGATTTTTCGACTGTTTTGATTTTCGTAGTTTTATTCATTCTCAAGGCAGCAATTTGGTATCTTTTGGGGAAAATAACGAATAAGACTATGAATTTATCAACAGTATTTATTAATTTATTCTTCATTTACTGCGTTTATAATTCTCTCGAGAAAAAAAAAACCTTTACAAATATGACATTTGCCTTTTTTAAAAAAAATGCTATATCTTCTTTTTACTTTACTATATAAAAGTTGTATTTGGCGCTTGAGGTCCATGATGCAAATAAAATCATACTTTAGGATCCATGATATATCATTGGATATATTATATTTTCATTTATCTTTGAAATTTCAATAACGGCGTCAGTTAATAAATACCAACCCTTCTATTCTCTACCAGGACTTGGGAGAGTAACCAAATAAACAAGTCTAGATAGCTTCTCACAAACACTGAAAGGAGATGCTGCACATGATTGTATTATAATGTTGACTATGAATGTTATTTCTATTATCTGTAATAATATCGAAGTTGCAATAATCAATACAGTAAAAATTCCTCCACAGATTATCTGGTTGATATTTTTTTCTCTCACAACTCATTTAATTTCGCCATTAAAAGATCTCGCATATCACATTAAGAGACGATTTGTGAATATAATGTGTTTATTCAGAGATGATATTTTTGGGGGAAAGCATTGGGGATTAGGGCCAGGCTCCCTTATAATTTTTTTCAAAAGTTTCAAGATGTAGTTATAAAAGCGTTCTTTGGGATTGAATAATTTGCATAATTAACTGATTACTATTACTACGTCGTGTATATTGACAGATGATAGTCAAGCTATTTGGTGTCATATCTGTACTTAAGTACCACAATTTAATTATATATGTTAACGATGTATTACATCTATGCATTATACATGAGTATCACACTGTTTCATATCGATTGTATGGTAAGCCAATCACAATGATATTTGTTATATTATAAAAATATGTGTAAAATATGGGATTTCACTTACAGGAGTTCTTTGTATTTGAAAATTGTGATAATAAATCAGTGCTTGTTTGGGACAAGTACTCAATTCTCAACAAAGTCGTTCTTTTATTAAAATGATACATCTATGGCAATATGATTGTTTTTATCTTAATTTAGTGACAGCATGTTAACAAGCAAACAAAAACAAAACAACAAATAAATATGCCTTCACCTTATTGATAAGCAGGGCGGTAAGTCCTAATAACACTCAGTTTAATTACCGGAACATTACCTGTGCTTTCACAAAATGACGTATTGATCTGCTCCAGTTGCGGCGCCCATACATCAGCAACTCTATAAATAGCTTACATAAAAACGACACTCCTTACATACGCTCTGTATTCCCTCTTGGGAGTATTCAAACGAAGCACATATAATGTATTTGTAGCAGGATTTGCACGGACACTATGACACCTTATCTTGCGTCTCTGCTCTTGCTTCAACAAGGTACGTCATAGTAAATAAATTGGACGAATACTTCAATTTATTTAACCACAGGTATACTATTACAAAAATTTTTACTAGCCCTTGATATTAATTTCTTTTAAAAATGGCAAAAATATTACTGATTGGAAATAATGTGTTTTGACAACAGATCAGTATGATATTTACGATGCATTTATCTGTAGTTTCTTATTTGAAATTAATTTAAAGT